ATAATAATCCATATAATCACACCAAATTCTACATGTTCAGGACAGTAGTCTGAAATTGTTATGGAACAGATTGATCTTGCCAAATAATCAAATTCAGTTAAAACTTTGTGTCCTGTCTTTAGTGTATACCGTAGCTCTTCTCAAAGTTTAATGTCTACCTTTAATTAAGGTTCAAGCCCTGCATCATTGTGGTAGTATTTCTTCCCAAGCCATGCATCACACTGCAGGAGAACTGAGACAGGTGTGCATCTGCAGAATGGTACACTGCATACTGGGCTCTTTATTGTCAAGGGGGGCACAGGTGGCCCAGTCGTCTGAGGCGCCGCGATTCGCTGTGCAGAGTTGCGTCCCAAACGCATGCCAGAAACCTATGATTGTGGGTTCGAATCCCGGTTCGCCCTGATTATGTTTCTAGGTTTGTCTGCACCATACCCGTGCTCGTGGGTTTCACCGAAGTGGTAAACGTCTAAGACCTGCATCACTTTGGGCTTTCCTCCCACATTAAGCTGACATGCCGCGGTATAACTGGAATAGTGTTAAAAGCGACGTTAAACCCAACTCACTCACTCACTTTATTGTCAAGGGTGGTTGGGTAGCCAAGTGGTTGAAGTGTTCAGTCGTCACACCAAAGGCCCAGGTTTCAGTACCCATGTGAAGTCCATTTCTTGTATCCTCTGGCGTATAAACCTGCTCACTCACTCACAGGTATCAAATCAACGTTTGAAACCTCAAAATTGAAAACACACTAGGTTTATCTCTTAATTCACTTGCAGTCTGCACATAAAATTAACTGATAAAAATACAATCAAAATCCTAAAAATTCAAACTCTCCATAATTTCTTGACTTGATCAATTTCAATCTAAGCAACAAAAACACTATATACCGATTAGCACAGGCTTTGTTTAGCCTGAACAGAATTATCCCCCCTGAATTTATGCCGCGATTGTTCATTCCTCGTCAAAACAAGTGGCAAGTGATTAATACCATTAACCAAAAACTAAATCAGTTTAACTTTTTATTCTAAAATATTCCACTGTACAACACTCAACATTCTTCTGAATGAAATGTATTGACATGTTTCATTGATTTGTTTGAACCATAGTGTGAACAGCTGTCACTCAACAATAGTTACATCCCAAAGCTGCCCAAAGCAACAGGTGCCCTTGACATTAATCAGCTTTTATAGATGCCTGCACAAATACATAAGTAGGCACTTAAAAGGCAAATTCATGAGCTAACACATATTAAACCCCTTATGAGTTACTGTTAATACTGCTTGCAGCAGTGTTTATTGCCACAATGTTGTACAATGTTAAACTGTTATTCAGCTCCTGGTTGTAGAGAACATCTAGTCTCTGAAATGAACATATCTTACAGAAAAAAAACAGTTGTTAAATTATCTTAATAAAAATACAATAAAAAGGAGCCCAGAGACGCTCTTCATTTTCAGATACTGCAGTAATCTAGACTTGCCAAACATTATAGACTTGCATGGGCTGTACTGGATATATACCCGATCTCCTTACTCACCTCTTACAACAAGTATAGTGGCCATTTACAGCAAGCATGGGTTGCTGAAAACCTTTTCTAACCCGAATCTTCACGGGATTGCATAGTGATGTAGAATAACTGAAGTGGTGAAATGGGGTTAAACGTCTCATTTAACATTATTTATTGCACTTCTATAGTGATGTGTGTGTATGTGTGTGTGTTTGTGTGTCTGCTTGTACTAGATTGGACTAACGCCTTTTTCATACTGCTAGCCCACTGAAATACCATGCCACATGTTAACATGGATACCCCACTCAGACATAGAAAACTCACTCCGAGCCGAGCAGGGTAAGAACAAGTACCATCTTTTATTCTGGTATTATGCAGCCGGAGAATTGAACCATCGACCACAGGCTCTCTGGCCAGACACTCTATCCACTAAACCATGGAAGCAATCTTCAAGGTTAGAACTGGTCTCCAGCAATCTATGCTTGTAATAGAGATAAGTTAGAGGATGGCTTCATATTTGATTCACGTGGGACCTTATGGGACGTTGCTCTTACTATCAATCACTAGTTCATCTTGTCCAGACTCAATTATTTACAGGCTGCCATCATTTAGCTGGAATCTTTCTGAATGTGGCGTTCCTTAAATGATTGAGTCTGTCAGACAAACCAGGATTGTTAGTGTGAATAATGATCCATGCCTTTGGGTATGCTGAAAAGCCATAAACCGAGTGTGAACACCTGATTAATTCCAGGTAGGAGTAGGTCTCTAGGTAGGACTCCAGCAACGTTTGATTGTTGAAGAGGCAACTAAATTTATTGTGTGGTTAGGCTCGGTGACTTGGGTTGATTGCATGTCATAGTATCCCAATTGCATAGACCCGTGAAGATCCGGGGTAGAATAGGTCTTCAGCAACCCATGCTTGTCGTAAAAGGCGACTAACGGGATCAGGTGGCCAGGCTCACTGACTTGGTTGATGCATGTCATCGATCCCGTGGATCGATGCTCATGATATCAATCACTAGATTGTCTGGTCCAGACTCGATTATTTACAGACCGCCATCATATAGCTGGAATATTGCTGAGTGCGGCGTAAAACAACAAACCATCCAACCATCCATCCAGCATAGATTGATGCCATGAATTACTGGATGATCTGGTCCCGACTCAATTAATTACAGACAGTGTTTTACATAGATGAAATATTGCAGCATTAAACAGAAAACAAAACAAAAGAAATAAAAAATCATGTAAAATTAATGTTGCTCCAGATAACTTTTTGAGCAATTGAGTTTTTACTCTAAGGTTTCTATTTTAATCGGGTCATTACATTTTTCATTGGGTAACCAATATTTTTTCACTCATCTCTTCTACACTCTATTGGGTACTTCCTCAAAAGAATGAACATTTTAAGATTAAAAAAAAAGAAAGAATGTTTTAGATGTACAAAACCATGATAACTGTTCTAAATATATAGACTTGATTCAGAAAGTAAATTAGCTTGTAATTGTGTCTTGGAAATTAGCTCTTTGAATGCATGCTGAAAAAGCTTCATTGGGTATTTATGCGTGCTGTTTTTATACATTTGAGTTTTTCATTTAATGCATGCGTTTCTGTACGCAAGTTAATTGAAAGTGATTGGGTTTTGAATAAAAAAACTTTTTTTTTTTTATTTTTTCTTTTTTTTTACGCAAATACGCTGCTTATCTGTAGCTCTATTGTTGGATGAAAAACTTTAACACATAGCATATGGTTATCCCAAATCCAAATCCTAAATCTAACTTACATTAAAACCTCCCTGAATACATTCTACAACTGTATAACTTTTTTTTATTAAACAATGAATACCAACACTTGTTCATGCAGTTCACACTCAAAACAGGGTATAACAAAAATAACATGTCAGCCCCCTGGCATCATTGTAGCAACATATGGAACATGTTGAAATACCTACACCTAAGTTTTAGCACACAGTTCCGGGTTGTTAATGGCCCTGCAAGATTCCCATTTGACAAAAAACAAGATTTATTAAATGAATAGTTTGTTTAGAAATATTTCCAAAACAAATAGTTTGTTGGCAGTGGAGAAACAAATTATTAGTTTTTTCTTTGCAAAATACCCAAATGTCAAAATCTTTGTGTTGATAGAGAAAATGAATAGATTGTTTGACGGTGCTCAGTGAATAAATAGTTTGATGGATACAGCAGGGGAAAAAAGACATAATCCCTCACTTACATATCAAAGGAAACTTCCTTACCTGATTTCTCAATGTTTTATATAAAAACTAAACTAAGGTGGGGTGGGGGTATGTCTCAAAATTTAAGGATATAATTTTTTTTATCCAACATCAATCTTTTGATCTGGTCCCTAAAGCATTGCTTAAGACTCAGTGCTCGGGTATAACTAAATATAACATGTTATACCATGTGTATCAACACATACAAAGATTTTGTTGTGTGTAAAATGAGAAAAGGTCAATTAAATAAATAAATGTTATCCAGACAGTATCCAAGTACACACAATGTGTGACTTAAGTGTTTCAACATTGAACAATTCCCAAGATAGACTCAAACTTGTTTTAAATCGCAGTTAGTTACTTGACCTGAACTGAAAGAATTTAATGTGCTTCAAAACACAAGCTATGATAGTCATAGGAAAAAAACGGGTGTTCTTTAACTTCTTTTGAGTAGTATATAACTTCTCTTGACACAGACCTCTATCGAGTAGTCAGTGTTTAATTTCTACACTTAACATATTGCTCTCAGTGTCTGGTCATTCTATGATGACCGATGCCAAACACATCAAGGCCCTTCTCTCTATATCTTCTCTTGACACAGACCTCTATAGAGTAGTCAGTGTTTAGTTTCTACACTTAACATCTTGCTCTCTGTACCTGGTCATTCTACGCTGACCTATGCCAAACACTTCGTGACCCTTCTTTTGTTTACCATGGGGTTAGAAGTCGTGGCCTATTTTCTCAGGCCTAACTAATGACATGCCACTGTGGTTGCCCGTGGTTCACTTTGACACCTAGAGCTCCATGACCATAGTGGTATGATTAAACCAAATAGGCACAGAGATCCAAACCCAATCATTGACCATGAGCCATGGTCTTGTGCCAATTTCTAATCTAGTTCTCGCTGATGTATAGTCATGAGACTTGTGAGGGACATTTAGACATTGTCTCTTCAATAAGGTTTATTCATTAACTTTCAGAAATGATAAGCATCAAATATTTGAGTTAGCTGACAAACAGAGTTAGTAATAATATTCAATTGTTTGAAACAAGTTTTAATAGGAGCATATTCCATATACCGATCTCTGACAGGAGTGCCATTTGCCACGACTGCGAGTCTTCAGCACCCCTCGGAATTTAGAAACTAGCACGCCTCACCAGCTGATATTGGCCTTGTTTCGACTGCAGTTCTCTATTAAACTAAACAATCTATCAGACCGCGGCAAATGAAATGAACATGAACTTGTCTAACGGTTAAGGACTTACCTTTCTCCGAATTGGTCGACAGCTTCAATGTAGAAATATCTCACAGGCAGAAAAAAATCGGATTTCAACCCCGGCCCCCAAACACGAGAGTTTCGGAGGGACAGCGTTCGCGGTGCTTCCGACTTTGGTAACCCCGCCTCTCCGACAACTGTCCCTAAGAAGAATATCAGCACGACGGGAAATATACTTTTGCTACACGTTCCGAAACTTGCCATTGTGAAACACCCCTCTCATAAGTCGCCCGAAGTAAATGACACTTAGCCACGCCGGCTAACTTATCCCTCGCCAGATGTAAACAGACGACACAGGACACAGTTATCGGCATAGTGGTTAGAAATCAGCCAATCACAAGGCGGTTTTCAAAGAAGATTCTCCCTCTTGTCCAATGAGATCTGTTGTAACAAATCATTGTTAACATTGTTAACAGGTTGGCTGTGTCTATTCGCACGATATCGTGTACATAAGGAGAACATATTCCACAATGTACACGATATCGTGTAAATAACAGACAATTTCTCCCAATATGCACGATATCGTGTAAATAAGAGACAATTTCTCGTAATATGCACGATATCGTGTAAATAACAGACAATTTCTCACAATATGCACGACATCGTGTAAATAACAGACAATTTCTCACAATATGCACGACATCGTGTAAATAACAGAACTTTAACACGATATATCGTGTAAATAATGAAACATTTACCATAATATGCACGAAATCGTGGGAATAACAGCACACGATACTCACACGTTATGTTATCACGGGTTATATTATTTGATCTATCAGCAGCGATTACGAACATTATATACAAGTACATGTTATCATTGGGTGGGTGTGTGTGTGTGTGTGTGTGTGGGGGGGGGGGGGGGGGGGGGGTCAGATTATGATGAAATGATATTTTTGTGAGTTATTTTGCAAAATGACTAAGAACACTGCTGCATTATTTTTGTAAAGAAGTTTTGTTATTTCATGCTACTGTATATTTTAGTTGTTTTGGATGTGCGTTTTATGTTCTTTTAGCAAAGAACATTCTTGATCATCTTTATAACAAAGAAATGTTTTCAGTATGGGATCTTAGTATGTCAGGTTTAAGGTTGAGTAAGACTGCATACTTACCCTACATCTAAGGGCTGTCTCAAATATTTAGAAAAGAATGTTAAGGCATCTTATGGAGCCAAGAAACTGAACTTTTAAATTGAAATTAAAATGACAGTGCGACAGTGCATATTATTCAATATTTACAATATTCACACATGTACAAAAATTACAAATTATAATACTATTAATTTGTACATGTGTGAATATTGTAATTATTGAATAATATGCAATTGTAAGAAAACTTGCATAAATAATTATTAATTTGTCCATATGATATTAATAATAAATCTGTACAATCCACCTCAGTTGTCTTTCGTCTTTAGGTCAAGATCTGTATAGCATAATGTTCAAATGACTCTGTAAGATCACCTCTGTGGTGTAGATACAGCACCTGTCTGCCTGGAGGGTGTATGGTCGGTGGTTTGACCCTTTAGCTGAGCCGTAAAAGATGTTACTAGCGGTTACCCCGCCCTGCGCTCGGGTTAACGATATAAAGCAAGGAATGGCTGTCTGAGTCAGTAAAAGGTTTCTTGGATGCAATGTTAAGCCCCATTTCAACTCTATTCACCTAAAACATAAGGTACATTCTGAAGCCCCAATATTAATGACCAGGCTTCATGAATTCTATATCTTACCATGATGACATGGAGTAATGCTTTCACTCTGAAACCCCACCCCCGTATCAGCCTTTGGGCTAATGGAACAGCATGTTATTAATTCGTGAATTTGGTTTAATACTTTGAACAATATTTCAGTCATATCACGTCTAGTAAGAGTCATGTGGGAGTATAGTCCAAAGTGGTTTAGATTTTGACATTTACCACTCAGAAACTCACAGGACTGCCATGTGCTGATAACCTAAGGATCCTAATTACCGTATTCGACGTAATATGCGCCCGGCGATATTTGCTGATATATTGGCTAGTGAACAATCCCAATTAGCACCTCTCGTGTGTTATTGTACCCTTAATTATGGGCAATTAAATTATGGAAAATATATCTGTCGTATATGATACGCACATACTTTTCTTTTGTATTATTTCAGGCTGTCAGCATAAACTACGAAATTTACATCTTTCAACTCTGCTTTTTTCTCACAAAAAGTCCCTTATTTCTAATTTTGAGAGCGCCCCGGGTGCGTATTACGTCGAATACGGCAGGAGGAATATCGGATTCAAACCAACAACCATAGGATCCTGGTAGGGCTGGGACTAGTCAAAATTTACTACCCGGGTATCCAGCACCATATTACCCGACCTTTCGCGAACTTTGACCGACCAATGGAATGACAATTAAGAAGTCGACAATAGCCAATGAGAAGGCAGCTTAATCGAGCTTTACGGCACGAGTTTCAAACTGCGACTACGCGTCGAACGATATATTAACATATACTCGATTAAAAAAATAATAACTAATAATATCGTGTATATAGACGGTCCGTAACAGGTTGTATGTATATGTATCCATGTTGAAGCAATCAATTTATGACCGTTGCTCTGGCAGGTGCAACCATGCGCGAATAAAGAATCTGTACTTTTAAAGTGCAAACTCAGTTATCGTGAATAGAAGACTGCAGACATAGGGTTATCTTCGCAGATACTGAATAAGTATTAACAATATGTCATACATGTATTGTTATAATGTCGTATATAAAGAAGAATGTCTTTTGTCTTCCTCGGACTTTAATCGGTATATATAACATCACATTATGAACGATAACAAAAATACTCTTCAAATTGCTCTCTTTAACACTTTGATCTCAGCACATCGTGCATATATTTAATCACCGGATAGTGTGTGTATCGTAAATGGACTTAAATGTGTAAAATAACAAGTTAAGGGACGAAGTTAAAAATGAAGTCAAATTATATTCGCTGAATGCATGACTGCACGGGATCCCTTATATCTCGAATGTAAACATCAACCGCAATATCAAAGAATTCTTTTAGTTAACATTTGGGATGTGAGACTGTTTGCTTGGTTTCAAATGATGTTTAAATGCTACAGCAAATGTTTGTTTCTTTGATTGATTGTTGTTTAACGCCGCACTCAGCAATATTCCAGCTATATGACGGTGGTCTGTAAATAATCGAGTTTGGACCAGACAATCTAGTGATTAACATCATGAGCATCGATCCACGCAATACGATGATACGATGACATACATCAACCAAGTCAGCGAGTCTGACCACCCGATCCCGTAATTAGGTCGCCTCTTACGACAAGCATGGGTTGTTGAAGACCAATTTCAACACGGATTATATAATACATTGGATAATCGAGGATTAATTTAGCGATATGAGCTGCGTAACGTGGCAGCTGTGTTATTTGTATTGGAGTGAAGTGGTTTCTAAAGGTACATTTACAAACGTGTACTGTACATGCATGTACGGGTGGCCCAGTCGTCTAAGGCGCCGCAATTCCCAGTGCAGAGTTGCGTCCCTTGGGAACGACAGAAACCTATGTTGGTGGGTTCGAATCCCGGTTCGCCAACATTATGTTTCTAGGTTTGTCAGCACCATACCCCTGCTCGTGGGTTTCACCAAAGTGCTAAACGTCTTAGACCTGCATCACTTTGGGATTTCCTCCCACATTCAGCTGACACGTAAAATAACTGGAATACTGTTAAAAGCGGCGTTGAACCCAACTCACACACACCCATCTGTGTTCTAATTCCACTGCCTCCGTGATATAGTCGATATAGAGCTTCTGTCCGAAAGGTCAGTGGTTCGATCCGTTGACCATCATACCAAAAGACGTTAAAATGTATATTTGTTGTTGTCCTGCCTTGTACTCTGCCAAGGTGGCCTTAAAGAAGGACTGGTCAACTCGGAGTCAGTATATGCGGTGTCTGTGTTGGGTACTATTTTGAACTGTGGCATGGTATCTTAGTTGGCCGAGACTAGAAGAAGCACACACACACACACACACACACACACACACGCACGCATGGACGTCGCTGTATGTCTATAGATAAGTGAAAAAATCTTGAACGCAACGTTAAACCCCATTTCACCACACCCGCTTATTCTACATCACAATGCCTGGCTATTAACAGTAGTCACCGTGACAGATAGACATCAGGTAAATCTTAAGATACAACTGACTTCCACCACAGCTTCGACACAACACATCATATAGCTCGTCTCGAATCAAAACACGGGGCTGTGTACTCGCGGGCAGATGTTGTTTGTTTCTTGTTTAACGTCGCACTGAGCTGTATTCCAGCTATATGACGGCGGTCTGTATATAATCGAGTATGGGTAAGACAATCCTACGGTGGCCCATAAGGGACATGGAGTCTGTTTTTCAATATTTTGATGTTTAACTTACTTTTATCTTAACCTTTTGCAAATTAACACAATCTGCCATACAAATATGTGATAAATCATGTATAAAAACATCCGAAAACATAGAAAATGTACTTTTAAGTAGCTTTTGAGTCGCTGAAATGTGAAGTGAAAATGTCAAAAACTAAAATGGAAATGTCAAAAACAAAAACGAAAAGGTCAAAAACTAAAATGAAAATGTCAAAAACACAAAACGAAGATGTCAAAAACTAAAATGAATACACAGAAAACTATTTCCACCGCGGTGCAAATAGTATCACCGCGGTGGAAATAGTTTTCACCTCGGTGTAAATATTATCACCGCGGTGGAAATAGTTTTCTGTATTTTCATTTTAGTTTTTGACATTTTCGTTTTGTGTTTTTGACATTTTCATTTTAGTTTTTGACATTTTCGTTTCGTTTTTCAGCGATTCAATATCTTCTTTACACATGATTTATCACATATTTGTAAGACAAATCGTGTTAATTTGCAAAAGGTTACGATAAATGTAAGTGAAATATCAAAATATGGAAAAACAGACTCCATGTCCCTTATGGGCCACCGTACAATCCAGAGTTTGCCATCTTGAGCATCGATCTACGCAATTGGGATACGATGACATCCATGGCAAGCATGGGTTTCTGAAGACCTGTTCTAACCCGTATCTTCACGGGTCGTATCTGCTTCTACACGAGACTCAAATAACGCACACTGTACACGTTTACTCCTTTTGTGAATCCTATGAGTATATGTCTGATGTTAACACACCAAGGTCACAATCTGGTGATCATGTACCATGAATGTGGAATATATTTATTTCATGAAAACAAAACCCATCAAATTATATATAAAAGCATATAAAAGCAATTCTTGCCAGCTCTATTCACAATATGACATCTGCATGAGGAAAATTATTTCTGTACATACAACTCTATGACGACTGGAGCGTAATTGTCTCTTTACTTGATTACCAATCCTGCTTCACTCTTTTTGTGATATAAATACGTTTAAAACACATGTATGCGTGTTAGCAAGCTTCGTTGGTTCTTTTAGTGCGCTTCAATGAATGTCTTGTACAAGAGTGTATGCTTGAACAACAGTATATTTACAAATATCTGCTGTGACACTAGAGGGCTTTACAGTATATAGCGGAATGGAATACATCTACAATGATTTTAATGAATAAACATTTTTTCAGTGCAGTGACGAAGTTGGCGGAATACTTTGCAAGTCGTGTCGGAGATTCATATTTCGCGCTGTATGGCGAATTGTATAGGTTTGGCATCATGTGATTTTTAATGAATTTGTGTGTAGGAATCTGAGAGTTTTATAGCTAACCTGCGAGGTTTATTGTTAGTCTTCGAATAGTGTGTATTCTACAGAGTTTATTGTTAATCTACGAATTGTAGTATGCTGCGAGGTTTATTGTTAAGCTACGAATTGTATGCATTCTGTGAGTTTATTGTTAATGTACTAGGAATGGTGTGCATTCTGCATGTTTATTGTTAATTTACTATAGGAGTTGTGTGTATTCTGCGAAATTATTGCAAATCTACTAGGAATTTGTACATTCTGCGAGTTTATTGCAAATCTACTAGGAATTGTGTGCATTCTGCGAGTATTGTGTTAATCTACGAATTGTGTGCACTCTGCGAGTGTTATTCTTAATCTACGAATTGTGTGCATTCTGTGATTTGTATTAATCTGCGATTATTATTGTTGATCTGCGAATTGTGTGCATTCTGCGATTTGTATTAATCTGCGATTATTATTGTTGATCTGCGAATTGTGTGCATTCTGCGATTTGTATTAATCTGCGATTATTATTGTTGATCTGCGAATTGTGTGCATTCTGTGAGTTTTATTGTTAACCTAGAATTGTATTGCACAACGTATGAGACATGTTTGGTTATTCTGAGAGTTTCACTCATTCACTTTTGTCATTACAGCAGTAACGGCGGTTCTTTGTAGAGTCTAACACTGTAATCAAGCAAGTGTTACACATGATATATGACTGTAATCAAGCAAGTGTTACACATGATATAAGACTGTAATGAAGCAAGTGTTACACATGATATATGACTGTAATCAAGCAAGTGTTACACATGATATATGACTGCAATCAAGCAAGTGTTACACATGTTATATGACTGTAATCAAGCAAGTGTTACACATGATATAAGACTGTAATCAAGCAAGTGTTACACATGATATAAGACTGTAATAAAGCAAGTGTTACACATGATATAAGACTGTAATCGAGCAAGTGTTACACATGATATAAGACTATAATCAAGAAAGTGTTACACATGATATATGAGACCCGTGAAGAATAGATCTTCAGCAACCCATGCTTGTCGTTTGACGCGACTAACGGGATCGGGTGGTCAGGCTCGCTGACTTGGTTGATGCATGTCATCGTATCCCAACTGCGTGGATCGATGCTCATGGTGTCAATCACTGGATTGTCTGCACCAGGCTCTATTATTTACAGACCGTCGTCATATTCTGTAACACAAGCGATAAATAAAACTATATATGTCTATTTATATCCACAGACATGCACCTCCATTTTGCTGATTTCTATATAGAAATATATATATTCACTGTGCAGAGTTGCGTCCCTTGAGAACGCCAGTACCATGTGATTGTGGATTCGAATCCCTGTTTGCCCAAGTTATGTTTTTTAGGTTTGTCAGCACCATATATATACCTGCTCACCAAATTGGTAAACTTCGGAAACATGCCCCGCTTCGGGCTTTCCTCCCACAATAAGCTGTGATATTGCTGGAAATGTTAACCCAATTCACTCACTCATACTACTATCGTTAATCTGCTAAGGCATGAACTAGGCTACCTGTATGTAACCTTGCTAAATTTAATTAATTATAAAATCCAACTATCATAGCATTAATTACTGCATGGTATTATTAACCACAAGATGGTGGTCAACTCGCTAAGCAGAGATACGACTGTTCACAAGCAACCCACACAGTAACACAAGACCTGAGGGATTAAACAAGGAGTTTATTAGTCGGGCACCGCCACGTCTCCTCATTTGTCCCACACCTTAAAACAGGACAGGGTTGACTACATCCCCTTCCACTGTGCTACAAATTGGTGATATTCAATCTTTAATCCTTCATCTACCCGAGTTCACTCCCTTGTCTAGGGCAGATGTAATCCTTTGGTATTGATATACGTTGCTATATCCTTTCCAGGATTATATATATATCCTATAACATATTCTTCAAGTCTCTCAAAGTTGTATATGTATTAAATCATAGTCTTAACGTTTGTATATTTTCAACAATGATTTTGTATACCAGAGTCTTTCCTAAGATTAACCAACTGATACAAGCTTAAGATTGCATATCACCAATTTTCGTCCTGTGATATCTTGAAAGTGTCAACGTAACACTTATTCCTGTACAGATCCCTCCTATTACTGAAAGCAGTGTCGATGTACACAGAAATTATAACGAAAATAGAGCATCTGCCCGGGGAGCGGAAGGTCGGTGGTTCTGTTACCCGCCGATTCATACCAAAAAACTTTGGTTAACTTCTTGTTACCCTGCCTTGTGGCACGGAATAATCTTGAACCTAATAAAACCCATTTCACTAGGGCGAAAAAAGACGATTTTTCAGTTACGGAAATTGCCGAGACACGAACGGAATGTAACGATTTATACAGCTTTTGAAACATGCGCTCTTCCTCCCTCCGCCATTATGCATCGTGGTGTTACTTTATGCTGTCCTCCGTTTTTCAGTGATAATCTGCTTTAGCCCTAGCAAAGACCACCACCACAGGTGTTCCGGGTAGGTTCGTGATAAATCTGTGGTGCACATGAACGTTTGGTTTGGTGATATCTTCCTTTAACGTGGGAGAACACTACCTGCAACCTCCCTCCGCCCATGCGCAGTATCGTTCTTTCTCGCAAGTTACCGTTCCGTACGCCATTATCGTGGTCCGAGACAGGGACGGGATTTGGTGAGAATTTTTGAGTGTTGGAGCGGCAAAGTAGGAAGTGCCTGTTCTGTTAAGTTTTTAAGATGTCTTACACCAACAGAATGCAACCAGAAGAGGGTTTGTAACCCTATACATTGTATTTGGCCTATTTTTAGGTCCCATCTATGTCGTTGCGAAAACCTGCCCTATTTTAGTCGCAAGGTTTACCATCCTTGGTGACGCGAAACGAAAAATTCGTCTGCTACGACTTCTGTGTTTGTTTATGTTAGTTACTGTTCATTTTAGATTGTATTCAGTTCTTATGAACAGGTCATCTTGCTGAATTCCAGTTCACCTGTGAACTATTTATCGATTCAGCGTATCTGGGTCACGCCATGATGTGGTATTATCAAAATATGCCGGTCTTTGCCCAAGAAACCTTTGGGTCTTGGGATCCATTCTTGGCTAGGGCCTGTAACCACAGCTGTAATTCTTTGCCATGCACATGATAATGTACGCAATATTTGACACAGCTGTTGTTTACCCAGTCGCTGAGGCAGTTCGTATTACAGGTTGATTTTGATGGATGATCATCCAGAAAAAGAGACAACAAAATGTCCCCGACAGCAATTGATAAAATGTGGCACATGTTGAAAGAATGGTTGTTGAAACAAAATTGAATGAGGATTATGAAGTACTTGTTATCTAGTCTTGAAAAAAAGAAGGATGTCTTTTATGAGACTAAATGCTGTTACATTTAATGAATTAAACGTGATATGACTGAAATATATTTTTTAAAGAAAACATATGTAACTTAAGTTAGATCTAGACCTATCTCCAAACTATAAAATATTTTCAAATGATGAAACAAGCAATCAATTAATTCTGTAATCAATTAGTCAAACTCACTGTTGAGAAAATAACAAACAACAAATTAACATTATACAATTGTAGCTAGTGTTAATTTACTAAATTGGAACTTAAAGAGTTTAGTCAGGGCCTACAGCTTCTAAGGCTGTGGGTCCTGATAATAGCCGATAACCCCCAAGCTTACTCGTCTCTGCTTGCCTTATTCTACGAGAAAATGTTCTGCTCCAGTGACCACCCTGCGCATAAAGGCTTATTTTCTCTTGTTTGTAAACAAATGTACTTATTCTGAAATAAGAACTGACAAGTTTAATGCAAGCCTTTCTGTGTTCTTTACATATTGTTTTGCATAATTATATTTACATAGATATATTACTGCGACAGTGAGGTGACTGTATCACTTGCTTTCCGTAGGGCTTCGATGACAGGACAGGATAAATTATGAAACAGATGAAAAACACATGAATGGACTGTGTAAGATGTGACGATGTGACAAAGGTACTAGGCTGGCTGTAAGGAACTCTGGGTAGGAGAGTGATTGGCAACATATGGCGGAGGCATATTTAGGCTTTGATAAACAGTGGCTTCTAATGTTATCAACCTTGTAATTAGTACTTTTTAACTCATCCATAAGAGCAGTAGACAAGCTTTCTCTATAATTTTCATCTAATAAAATCATGACTGAAGCCACTTTACTCTGTGCGGTGCTTGCGTTGTTGGCATTACTGTGCGGAACTCTGTTTTGATTTGAGATTTTATCACTCTCAGAAATTATTTCATGCTTTATTTAAAAACACAGAACTGTTGACGTACTGTCCCTTTAGGTATACCAGTTTTCTGTTTTTCAGATAATGTCTACAGATGGCTCTGGAGAAAGGATTCCAGAAGCTCCTCGTATTATTGCTGTCGAAACATCGTCAGTAGTAACAAACCTAGATGAGTCCTCAAACATGGATGGAGGAGGGGATGATGATGGTATTTATCTTTCTGTTGTAATGATTTTCACGATTTGAGATGTTGTAAACTCATGTTTTACAGCAATACTAATATGGATTAGAAATTAAACACATTTTACAATCCTTTCTAAAGTAGCAAAATATTGTTCTTTCTTTTTCCTATGTTTTTCAGGTATTGTACCATTTGTGTTTTCACTCAAATTTCAGTGTTAACAGTGAACAAAATTAGCTCATAACATCATATTCATCAGGATTGGAAATTAACCAAGAACATACACAAGCCCGAATAGTGATAACATAAAGCAGTACCCGCTTAAACATTAACAGAATTTGTCAATGCTAGTGCTCATTTCCATCCCTGATCATTTCTATTAATTTCATTTTGATAGCAATCATTTGATATGATCACACATGGGTACTTTTGCCTTTGAATATGTGTAAGCGTGGTCTAGTGGATAGAGTATGCTCGGTGGTTTGATCCCCATCAGTGTCCTACAATAAGTTGTTGGTAGTAAGCATGGTAAGAGATGGTACTTGACAGTTGTTGTTTCCCTGCCTGAAAGTTTGCACCTATAATATTTCAATGTTGGGACCCCAACTTTTGACAATAGGGTTATGACAAGGACCTCTAGTCTTTCACTTTAAACACTGGTTTTGAATATTTACAGTGGGTTTTATGGTCAAGGGTAGAAATTTACATTTTTAGTCCACTAGTCCTTTTAATGATAACATATAGCAAAACCCTTTAAAATGGCAAATTTCTACTAGTCCTTATGATACCTTAACTATTGGGCAGTTTGGCAAGGACTACAGGACTAGTGCCAATTTCTAACGCTGATGGTCATATGTTTTTTGTTGTTGTTGAATATCTCTTTATATTAACTTTGCAGATGGACCTTTGGCGAAAAGGAGACGGCTAGAGGACAGTGAACTCTGTGTGGATCAGTCAATAAAGGTGTGCTTCTGTCATTAGTGAGAGATCATAAACATGATATATGTACTATTTGAATTATCTGCTCATGGCCTACTTGTATGCATCTTCCCGAGGTTAGACAGTTAACTGACTATAAAAGTTCAGTTTTCACCCTTGCCGAACTAGGCTGGTATTATGGAGTTACATTTTGGCTGGACTAACTGGTCTATGCATAGTCCAATCAAAATCACGCACCGAAATCGAAATCCGGTTCGTAAACTGTCATGCAGATTTCGGTCGATTGCAGGATTTGCAAAGCATGTGCATCGCCAACTCGTCAGCAGATATTTTCCAAATCTTTTCATGTTTTTTATCAAGGTGCTCACGTGATTTCATGCATTTCGCGACGTAAGACCCGTTTTATCACAATATAGATCTTGATTATCGATCAGATCGTTCTGACTATCACGCAAGTGATACGAGAGGTGGAATCTGATTGGTCCATAGGAGAGACTTAGAAGGGACGTAACTGGTAATAGCCACCGGTGGGGCTACGATCGAGCCCAGTAATTCCAGCCTAGTTCGGCAAGGGTGGAAACTGGACTTTTATAGTCAGTTAACTCTCTTGCCTCGGGAAGATGACTTGTATGCTGTCTAGAGTTGTTGGAATTGTCTGTTAAACATCATACCCTCACAAGCCACTTGACACATGAAGGTGGAACTTCACTTGCTTGTTCCCACTGATGATAACACTAGAATTTGTTCAAGAGTTTGGAATCTGATTTTCAATGTGGCAGCTATGGCAACCAATTGGTCAGACAATGGAAAATGATTAATATTTTCAAAGTGTCATTAAAATTCGGTATATGATTAATTAGTAATTGGTCACCTTTGTGTCAGGACCTCTTCAAATATCTAGCCAAAAGAGGTCTTTGTGGTACATTAGAATCAAGTTTGCTTCTAACCAGTTTGTAACTACTAAAGAAATAGAAAAGAGACTCCTTTCTCTCTCCCCAGTCAGTTTTGACAAAGTCAAACAAGTTGTATTTTAGCTGTTAAGAACATATATTTGTTTTCAGCAAATACTTTTTAACATCAACAAAGCAATCTGCATGAGATTGGAGACAATTGAGAACAAATTAGACACGTTAAGTCAAAGATCTCGCACTGTAGAAGAGAAGGTGGAACAGCTACTAATTCAAGCCAGACAGGCTCCAGGAGCATCCCTGTCGCCCAACGCCACCGGCTCCAGGAGAGGGTGAGTAGCTTTGATGTTACTGGCTCCATATTTGATCTCAGGTTTGCCCTGATTATGTTTCTAGGTTTGTCAGCACCATACCTGGGCTCGTGGGTTTCACCAAAGTGGTGAATGTTTCAGACCTTGTCACTTCGGGATTATGTCTCAAGCTGACACACTTTGATATAACCGATTTAATGTTCAAAGTGGTGTTACAACTCAACTCACGCACTCACTCACTCTCTATAGATTTGGGACTTCCTCTTCGGGCTACTGGATAGAGTGACTGCCCAGAGAAGGGAATGTTTGTGGTTTGATTCCCGGCCACGTCATTTTAGAAGCTGTCTCATGAAATTAATGAGAGTCAGACTACCCATGAATGAAATTAGAAAAACAAATTATTAAACGAATCCCATCTCCCTCGATGCATTTCTATGTGAAAAACATGCTTGAACAAAGTTCAGTCTACTGAAGAATTTACGTCACTATTTCGATTTATATTATGAGTAACGTTGCACAGAATTTCTCTGGCATGTAGTGTGGTTATTTACAGCATTGCATGTATTTCAAATTGGTCTCAAAACGAAGTTTTGCTGCCGAACATGCTGAACAGCCCTCCAAGTAGCGACCAACATTTGCGACCTAAATTACCATTTTGTGACCTGTTTATATTCCCTGGTTACCAGTTGCATCCCATAAAATTGGCTGGGCAGCTAAAATATTTCACATTTTGAAAGAAACTGTTGTAGACAATTGCTTGTCTGTATCGACATCATGACTTCCCTACAAGATCATATATTTCTAGTCATGTGCTCATTATTCAGTTTATTTTCACAATGGTGACATGTTCAAATCATAGAAGAATATTTTGGTAATTGCTTAATGATTTTTTTTAGAAGCAAGTTTTCAAAGTTTGTTGTTCAGGCACATTAGAACCATTGGAATGTTTTCAATCTTGTCTTGTCTTATTCTTTAATTTCTAAAATAGTAAATTCTTTGTAAGCCTCAATCAATGTGGCTCCTTAAATTTTGATGTGGCTCCTTAAAGTTTGAAATGACACCTCAAATAGTGTTGTCAGGAGCCGAAAAAGTCTAAGCATGATGTGCTGCTGAATGAGTCAAGGGTATTTATCAAAATAAAAACAAGATATTATATACTGGGGTGAAACAATACAGCAAGGTCATGACACAATATGTATCACTTTAATTAGGTCACGATGCGATACATATTGCGACACACAAAGTTACGTCTCGTCACATGGAGGCTTCATGACTATAAATATTTCAAAGCAGGTTCAAAAGAAAAAGCTAGATGTATATACATGTTCATAGCGGCTATTTTTAGAAGGGAATTTGAAACTCTAATTGCAAAACATTTTACGATATTTGTCTGACAGAAATGCCAGGTATCATTAAACAAGTAGATCTAGTAAGTAATATTATTTTAGAAATCAATTTTAATGCGTATTTGAATAAAATACACTCCAAAAATATTCAAATCCCAATTACTTTCAATTAACTTGCATACAGAAATGCATGCATTAGATGAAAAACTCAAATGTATTAAAACAGCACACGTAAATACCCAATGAAGCTTTTTCAGCATGCATACAAAGGAGATAATTTCCGAAACACAATTATGAGCTAATTTACGTTCCCAGTCAAACCAATATATTTAGAACAGTTATATACATGTAAAACATTATTTCATATTTTTTAAATCTTAAAATATTCACTAATTTTGGGAAAAACCCAATAGAGTGATAAATAGGTGTGTGAAAAAATATTGGTTACCCAATGAAAAATTTAATACTGTATTTAACCTAATAAGCACAAGGACACTCTCAAAATTAGAAATAGGGGGCTCTTATTAGAATATAATTTTGGTGAGAAATAAAAACAGAGTTGAAAGGTCGTAAATTTCATGGTTATGCTGACAGCCTGAAATGATACAAAAGAAAAGTCTGTGTGTATTATGTACGACAGATATATTTTTCCAGAATTTAATTGCCAAAAATTAAGGGTGCATATAACACATGAGTGTGTGTTATCGAAAATTAATGTCTTGTGTACAATGATCAATCGGAAGGGGTGCTAATTGGGATTGTTCACTTGCCAATATATCAGCAAATATCGCCGTGGGAGCTTATTAGAGCAGGGCGCTTGTTATTATTAACCCAATTAAAATATAAACCCTAGAGTGAAAACTCAATTGCTCTGGAGCTCTGATTGTATATTGTATTGTTGCATGAAAACTCATGATGCACCGATGTATCATTTCACCTATAACACACACCCACAACAGCTTATTCTCTCTGTCTCCACTTCCAGGGCTGTCATTGTTGGTCTTCCCCAGAATGGAACACGGTCTGATACAGGTGAGATTTGAAGGGGGCTTCTGATAGGTTGCACAGGAATTTTTCTGGACTCTTAGTGACCTTGGAAGGTAAATTTGAGAAGAAAGGATCTTTAGTTTGTTCAAAATTGAAGTTTTTATTGTTCTATTTATTTGAATTCAGAGGTAGTTTAACTATGTACTTTCATATTGCATTCAATGCAGTAATGTAAATCTATAAAGCTAAAAAAATCTCTTCCTCAGTCCCGTTATGATTTTTATTATCAGTGAAAAACAGGGCCATAACATTAGTTACCCTGTATTATCATGAAATGGTATATTGTTTATTCCAATTGGGGAATTTTTGTAGAGTTTTGCTGTTTACTTGGGGCCTAATATCGGTTTCCGACCAGGTCAGGATAAAACTTGCTTAATGTCTGCCAGTCACTGCGACCAGCTCTAACCATGATCACTAAATAGTACAACTCAGCCATTTACAGCTTTGGCAGAGGAAGAATATTGGCTCTGGATATACTTCTACAAGCATTGATAAAATCTGATGATATCTATATATGATTGGCATGATTAAGGACATTGATAAACATGATTGACATTTAAGTCCAAAGTTGATGGAAAATATTGGGGAAATATTTGGGGAAATATTTCTTAATTGACTGTAGCTTCAACCATGGAGGCATGCTTGTGTCTGTGGTGTGTCAGTAGGTGTAGTAGTGTCAAACGGGTATTGAACGAGAGGGTAAGTTATCTCTTCCTTCATCATCATTGAATGTTTGATAGTACCCTGATGACAATTTACATTGGCAATGTGTAAAACTGAGATGGGTCCTTTAGGTCTTCTGTGGTGTTTGAATCCACGGGACCTACTAAAATTGTAACTTTTAACTAGGGCTTGGACGAGTCCATATTTACTACCTGGGTACCCACCCCTACCCAGGTACCCACTGTAGGCCTCAAGAGATAGGTACAAAATGTCTGATTGGGAATTTATTTTACCATAGCCCTGGCAAAACGTATTTAGATACACGTATTTAACAATCTGGTCATGCATACACTGAAGTTGACTTAAGTTATATCTTTATTCAACCATATGAAAAGTCAGAAGGAATGGGTGCATAATTTTTGTCATTAAACAATATATCGTGATTAACCACGGGTCTGGGTAGTCCTGTGGGTACCTGGGTCCTACTCAGTACCCCCCCAACCCGGGTACCTGAGTTACCCGTTCCAGCCCTACTTTAATGCTAGGGTTGTGGCAAGGAACCCTTTACTTTCATGCTGTATTTGGAACGCTGGTTGGTATCATGCTTGGGGACACATTGTTTCTTGGTTGCAGATGGTGATGGCAGTGTGGATGGAAGTGTTCAGAACCTTGGTCCTAATGTCACCCTGATCACACTCAATACAGAAGGTAAGGACAACATGATACAACCTTCGAAATTCTGACTTTCACTGGCCTAATACTACTAAATCGTGCTGAGGACAGGTTAAAATCCAATGATCATGATGATGGTAGTCCTCATTGACTAGTAGCATTTCATTTTGAGGGTTGTAATTCTGAACCAGTCATCAGTGCTGGAACTGAATAGAACTGACAGAAAGTGAAACATAGTACATAGTAAGCAATTTTATTTCGCTCAAGCAGGACTAGCTACAAAGTCTGAGGACCTGTCAAATGAGGATAAAACAAATTTTCAAAGCCTGCTCTAGGCTGACTGCCTGTATCATCATCAGGTCATCGTCACATGGATAAAAAATTCAACTCTTTCATCTCTTCATGAATGTTTTGACTATTATTGTTTATCATGGTTTCCGTCACAGCTACATATTTTGTGTCTTGTTACAAATCAAGAATCCCTACAGAGTAGGTCCTTAAAAGTATACTTGCCCTATACTGTATATATTAAAAGAACACCCCTTAAACATGTTAAACATGTTAAATTCTTTATCATTATTATTTTTATTCTTCTGTCTCTTGGGCATGTTATGATATCTGAACTAAACTTGTTTATGGATGTTTTTGCTTCAATGTTTTGTTAGTTGGCTTACAAGACTACACTCAAGTGTCCTACCATGTTAGTCCTTGTTTGATTTTCATAAATGTTAATTTGGAAATTGAAATATTTAGAGACCTGCTCAAATAAGACCCTCCCCCAAAAATTCTTGACCAATGTAAATAGTCTTTAATTAGAACTCCCTACTTACGACTGAAAATCTACATGACGGTCCATATTTTCGTTTATATTCTAATGACTTCTTTACAGAAAACATCAGCACGGAAGGGGTATTTAAATGGTCAAGTAACTATAATTGAAAAGGTTTTATTTTTATTGAAATTTGAAAAAGTTTGTTCACTACTGGTAATTTTCTGACAAATGTTACTTGCTGTTTGTGGTTTTAATAAGCGCAGCCATTTTGTCAAATTTCAAATAACAGTAAATATGACAATGCATCATCAATTATTGTTTCCCTCCTGAGGATCGGGGTTAGAATCGGTCTTCAGCAACCCATGCTTGTCATAAGAGGTGAGATACAAGATCGGGTGCTTAGGCTTGCTGACTTTGTTAAACAACAAATAAATATTATTGGTTTCAGAGGATTACCCTAATGGTGTGTGGCTTGGGGAGGAGTCTAACCCTGAAATGAGGGTGAGAGTACCAATAACACCAAGGTAAGGGCACAGTTGAAGTTTTATTTTCTGTATAGTGACCTGTTCCTGTTACATCAAAGTTATACCACAATCATACAGATTTCAGGGTATTGCAAATATTAATTATGGAAGGGACCAGGTCATCTCAGGCGTCACATTTCGCTGTTACTGTAGAGTTGGGTCCCTCAGTTGGGCCAGAACCCTGTGATCGTGGGTTTGAATCTCAGTGAGTGAGTGAGTGAGTTTGGTTTTACGCCGCTTTTAGCAATATTCCAGCAATATCACGAGGGGGGACACCAGAAATGGGCTTCACACATTTTACCCATGTCGGGATTCGAACCCGGGTCTTCGGCGTGACGAGCGAACACTTTAACCACTAGGCTACCCGACCGCCCCAGAACCCTGTGATTGTGGGTTTGAATCTCAGATTCAACTTGATTGTTTCTTGGTTTCTCAGCACCATACCCATGCTCTTGGGTTTCAACAAAGTGGTCTGAGACCTGCATCACTTATGTCTTTCTTTCTCCCACATCAAGTTAGCTAAACATGCTAAAGACTTTTAAACCACTCACTTCTTCATGGTTCTGAACCCCTAGTGAATGGAAGCATAGTATTTTTGCTTCTCTGACCTGATGCCATGGTAAAGCTCATTTTCATACGAGAAAATGAGAGGCTACCTGATGGACTTTGACAAAGGTTTTGAGAAATTAAATTCTTTAAATATAAACATGGTTCTTACAATTCCTTCTGTCAGTGAACACTACAGCTTGATAATAGTACTGATTCGATGGTTATCAATCAAAATGAACACAATGCCATTAGGAAGTGGTCAAATGTAAATGTTATATTTTGGATAACACTTTCTCAGTAAAGTACAAAATCTCGTTCTTTTATGGGTTGAGTCCTGTCCAGGATTTGAACCCACTCTGCCAGAGTGAGGCACCTATTCGACAACTGGTAGTCTAGATCATGTACTTTGTGTATCCCTCTGACAAGTGTAAATTGGCACGGCTCCCATGGCCGAAAGCTATGAATACTCAATGCCATTTTTTATTTAGAAAGTGGTCAAATGTAACAAATGTTGTATTTGTGATAACACTTTCTCAGCTGGCAGTGTGGGTTCAAATCCCGAACGGGACTCAACCTAAAAATATAACATTTGTTACATCAATTAATATTTTGTAATATTATTATTTGTTCATGAGAGGTTAAGATTTTCATGTAGTGTACAATTTATTCATGTTTAGATACACTTGTTTTCAGTGACCTTTTACATGTGCACTCGAACTGCCGCACGCCTGAGAAGATGGCACTGACAATGCTAGATTACCTGTTTGACCGGGAAACCCAGGCGTGTTCCAATCTGTCCGGGATGGGCAAACATGGAAAGAAACAACTAGATCCTCTTATGATTTACGGAATCAGGTGTAAGTTCTCAAGGCGGCTGAACTTGATTACAGCTGTTAGGAGTTTAGAAAAGCCTTGCAAGATCAGTCTTATCTGGAACTAGTTAAGACATACATGTACCATGTACCATCCCCACAGGCCGTGGTGGTTCTGGGTTAAAATAGGTCCCCAGCAATCTATGCTGGTCAAGAGGTGACCCTATGGTTTGGGGGATCAAGCTCTGTTTATTGCGGTCATCATACCCCGACAGAGTGGATCGTTGCCCACAATGTTAATCACTGAATTTTTGGGTTGCGATTTGATTATTTACAGTCAGCGTCAAATAGCTGGAATATTGCTGTGTGGCTTTAAACAAAGAAAAGTATCATTGATCCTGCTGAGGCCCGGGTTGGATTGCCATGTGGGCACAGTGTAAGAAGTCTGCTTTTGGTGTCCGCCATCTCCATTAGGCTGAGATTGCGTGGCATCGTTAGACAGCTCTTGCTCAGTGACTGGTTAGGTCTTCAGCAACCCATGCCTGCCATAAAGGCGACTATGCTTGTCGTAAGAGGCGACTAACGGGATTGGGTGGTCAGGCTCACTGACTTGGTTGATGCATGTCATCGTATCCCAATTGCGTGGATCAATGCTCATGATGTCACTCCTCCTTGATTGTCTGGTCCAGACTTGATTATTTACAGACCGCCATCATATAGCTGGAATATTGCTGAGTGCAGCGTTAAACAACAAGCAAACAATCAAAACAGCGAATTGTTAGCAGAGTAACCAGTTGTTTTGGATAGTGCTCATAATACAAATCACAGGATTGTCTGGTCCGGATTTGATTATTTATAGACAGCTGTCAAACAGCTGGAATATTGCTGAGTGTGGCAACAAACAAATCTGAATGTATCAGCTGATGTATATATAATGCATTGACTCATCCTTCGTTTTCTATTCTAGGTCATCTTATTCATAGATTTGGTATAACAGAAAATGATTGGCACCGAATAAAACAAAACATTGACTCAAAGTGTCGCACTGCATTCCGAAGAAAACAAAGAGGGATGCCATTGACGGTAAAAGCATTTAGAGGAAAGGCGCCTCCAACTTATGTAAATATTGGGTCACATTTACCGGGAGAGCTAGGTTGTCAGAGCGATGAGGATTCAATCAGTCACGAAGACTCTGAGTTACATATCCATCAGGTACAGAGCAAACTTGAAACTTTTAGTTTCTACTATTCGGGTCGTGTATTCCATTACATTCAGTTTGTGGCATGTCTTGAATAGTGAAAATTCTGAAATGTCACCTGTGCCTATTTCTGTTGTGATCCCCACTGTGAGAGTGAAATTAAAATTTTGGGAATGTGATTTTAATTTGAGATTTGCATGGTATCATGCAGTGCATGTTTTTGTTGTAAAAAAACCCTTCACAGCAGGACTTTCCAAATTATTTTTTCATGGAAATCGAAAGCTTATATTGGGGACATTCCTGATTGTCTGAAAACTTGCCAGTGCAGCTTTGCTCGTAATTTGATCCTGTGTGTCAAAGTGGAGGCTAGTTTATCCTCTTGCATGAAATTGTTACTTGGTTATCTTTGGTATTTAACATGTTATCGTTCAACAAGAACTGAAAAAAAGTGATAAAAAACTATTCATATGTGTGCATGATGTGGTTTGGATTACATGGTAAATACTCTATTTTCACTGAAATATTTAAATGCTTTGAAGTAATGACACACGACTTTTGTGATGTATTTGTCTGTAAATCTTTTGTGAAGGGTTATGCAAATTGGCCTATGATGTTTACTGACCCTAATTTTCAAATCAGTATTGTAATCTAAACCACAATTTTCTTTAAAAAGTCTTAAGTACAGCAGATTATCAGAATTTGATTGTTGAAATTTGTTACAATTTGATTCTTAACTGTGGTTGTCACACAATTGATTATTAAAAATATTAAAAATCACTTTTCAGATTGACAACAAAAAGTGAACATATAAATCATGTTATGTAAATCATAATAAGACTTTCTTAAACCGATGCATGTCTGTTTTGATATTTTAATAATTCTGATGTTAATAGCTTAAATGTAATTTCCATTGTGCTTGCCGTAAAAGGCGACTGTGCTTGTCGTAAAAGGCGACTAACGGGATCGGGTGGTCAGGCTTGCTGACTTGGTTGATGCAGGTCATCGATCCCAATTGCGTGGATCGATGCTCATGATGTCAATCACTGGATTGTCTGGTCCAGACTCGATTATTTACAGGCCGCCGTCATGTTGCTGGAATATTGCTGAGTGCGGCGTGAAACAACAAACAAACAAACAAAATTTCCATTGCTCACAATTTAAAACAATGTGATGAAGGATGCAGGTATTGTAATTGGTAGTGCCTTCTTTATCCAGGCTGAAGTGGACAGTATCCAGCAAGCCGTGTCTACTATGCAAGGGGAGGCAATCCAGCAAGGAGAGATACAAATACTCCACGCCACTCCGGAACAAATATCCCAGCTACAGCAAGCTCATCATATACAAATACTCCAGGGAGATCAAGTCATAGGGGTAAGTGGTGCTGGAGAATATTTTTAAAATACATTGCTATTGAACTGTTGCATAAAATAGACAACAAACATATGAACAAATATGGATGGTTACCCTTTTCTGTTTTCTCTTTCTTTTCTGTATGACTATTTTCATGAAAAATGAAAGTGTTAATGTCCTTTAATAAATAGTGTTCCTTTGTGTTTGCACATTTGTTGCTCAACTGACTAAGTCAAGTGAACTTGTCCTATTCGCTCGTCACGCCGAAGACCCAGGCTCGATTCCCGACATGGGAACAATGTTTGACGCCCATTTCTGGTGTCCCCTGTCGTGATATTGCTGGAATATTGATAAAAGCAGCGTAAAACCATGCTTGCTCGCTCACTCACTCACTCACTCACTCACAGGTTAAAACCATGCTTGCTCACTCACTCACTCACTCACTCACTCACTCACAGGTTGTGCAGTGTCCAGCGTCTGTGTCGTCGTATTCTCCTCAGATACCCCTGAATCAATGACCCACACTGAAACTTCCCGTGTTATTCACACCATTGATGAAACCTGAATTGCTCAAGCGGTTCCAAATATAAACAAACAAAGATTCATTTTGATAAAAATAAACAAATGTCCACATGTCATCAAAATGCATTTCTCTACCCTTTTGTAATTGTGTAAATATCTCTTGCAGCAAATACAGCAAGGGGATGTGGCAGCATTAGGGGATGGCATCCAGGTTGCTACGGTAACGACAGACTCAGGAGAAGTTCTACACATACAGCAGGCACCTGCAGTAGTGCCGGAAGTGACAGAGTAGTGGTTGGACTTACCTCCCTTGTTGTACATATTACCATGGAAGGCAGCACAGTCTTCATTGTTCATTTGGCTGTTCAGCATTCAGCTTCGGAGAGAACTATTTTTTCCTTTGAGGGACTGTGTAACAATTGGAAGAATACAAATTGTGCACTTTTGTTGTTGGATCCTCCAGTTCATCGTTTGGAAAGCAACTTTTCAATAACTGAGTGATGAGTTGGTGAATCAGGTTGTCTGTGTCTGTGTCTGTGTCTGTGTCTGTGTGTGTGTGTGTGTGTGTGTGTGTGTCGCTCAGGCCTACTGGTGGACAACAGAAGACAATAATGTTTGGGAATAGTACCGGCATTACCAAGTTTGCTCTCACGCGGAAAGTCGTTTAATATATATGTTAATCATTTAAACATGAATCTTCACCTTGAACTTCTGTGAAATTATATAAGATGAACATGAAAAGGGAAAGTTTTGAAAAAGCTTTGAGTCATTAAAGTTTCAATAAATGAACTCAGATTCAGTTAAACATTTACCTTATCTTCAGAATACAGCTTGAATATCAGATTGTGATGGTATGACAACTGTCAATCCTAAAGACTTCTGTTGGCATGCTAATGGAACATTGTTCAAACATGTTTGCCTTGGAGGAGGTTTGCAGTCAACACTATCCCTATGACCAGTCCTTCCACAAAGTGAGTTTAAGGTTTTGACTGTTTTAAGTCAATGTTAAAGGAAGGAGTTGTGATAAGTCTGAGCACTCTGATTTCATTGTGGGATGGGCCCTGGTCAAAGAGGGATGAGGGAATTGTTTACAGGTTCATTCAACTTCGCACTCATAAATATTCAGAGATAATCTTCACTTTTTATGATATGGCTTGTTGAAATCAATTTCTTGTTCTCATGACCATTCAAACCTTGAATTGCCCCACCCCTAATTATTCATGTTTTCAAACACTAGAGAAACAGCTTTTATCACTTCAGATTTCAAGTTTTGCACCTGAAGCTGCAGGGTCGTGTGCAAAAGTGCTCATATAGTACACTAGAATCAGGTTTACTTGTTAGATTTGTAACTTATTCAAAAACGTTTTAAAAACACAACACCTTTCTCCATATTCAATTTTTAGAAATCGATGAGAACAAGAATATTGTTTTAACTAGCCTAATTAACCCACGACACTTCACATACTTTTGCCATTTGATATTTTGTTGTTATTTGAGCATGTTGAGTGGGACAAAAAAGTGCCAAGTTTGCAAAGCTTTATAATATTTTATTTTAAAATGTATGGCCATTATTTATAAATTAATTACGAATACATACTTGTTCATAGGTGGTTTTGTTTCCTATCATCGAATCATCATGATTAGAGTCTGTTTTTCTTTAACGCTTTCATTAAACTGACATTGATATAAGCTCCTGTTTTCCATACAATTTATTAAGCTAGCTTTTCCTTGTTTACCCAACAGTGTTTTGAAAGGTCTCTATAAACTGCGCTCTTGGCCTTCTAATCTCTTCCTTTTGACATCTGTGTCATGAAACGTTATTAAACTGCAAGCCCATTTATGCTATGTGTAAAACTGTATGACAAGTTTATGTTGCATATTCTGAATCTTCTTATACCGTCTTCATCTATGAAAAGTTACATTCAAAATATACACTGGTTCATAAGACTTCATAACCATGAGATTTTCATCAGTTTTGTACTTTTGATACCTGTTCATCTTCACATGGTTACAGACAGCAAAGCTGTAAACCTAACTGTTGGAATTTATCTACACCTGTTCAGAGGCCAATATTTGGCCCCAAGTTTGAAGAGTTGTCTTGTATTTCACTAACAGAACCAATATAGAGGAACAGGCTATATTGCTTTGTGTTTAACATTATTGCATTGAATGCAATGTTAAAATACAGTAGAAATCCCTGCAATGTCTTGACTCATCCGTTAGCTGTCAACATGGTATTAGTTATTAATTTCTACTGACTCAATTTTGTTGTAGTCTATTCGGAAGATGGTTCCAAAATGGATCATTAATTATTTTGACAAGTTGAAGAATTTGGCACACCTTCGAGGTACCGTATTCGACATAATAAGCACCCAGGAAGCTCTCAAAATTAATAGGGGGCTCTCATTAGAATATTATTTTGGTGAAAAACAACAGAGTTGAAAGATCATAAATTTCGTGGTTTATGCTGACACCCTGAAATGTTTATATACGACAGATATATTTTTCCAGAATTTAATTTCCAATAATTAAGGATGCATATAACACATGTATTATACAAGAGTATATAAGGCTTGTGTACATTGATCAATCGGAAGGGGTGCTAATTTGGATTGTTCACTAGCTAATATATTAGCAAAAACGCCATGGGCGTTTATTAGAGCGGGGCGCTTATTACATCAAATACAGTACATGCAGCATTCTGCATTGTTGGGGAACAGAACAAGAGACATGGGCTTCATTTGTTTTATCACAGAATGTTTGCAAGTAAACTACTCAGTGTGTTTTTGTTGAAACCATATTTAATGTAGCAAAGATAATTTTTGTTCACTCACAGACAAGTACATAATTTATGTATAATATTGACTGATTCCTTGTCAGAAGGAAATGAATTGTGGAAGGTGTCAAATGTCCAACTGGATACAAGAAAAAAAATATTTCTGACAGTTTTCAATGCATTAATAGATCCTTGTATCATCCAACACATGATCCTTGTATCATACAACACAGGATGTGCACAATGTAGGCAGTTTCCTATGTGTAGACCTGTAAACAGTAACGAGATGAAACTGAACTCTCCTTAGTTCTTGCAGGTTATGGTAAGCAAGTTGTTTGGCACTGATATCTGTTATTGAATGTACTTGGTGGACTCTGAACTATTCTATTTGTTTACACTTGTTACTTAGCACAAACAATCATTGTCAATAGTGTTGGCCTGTTAAGACAATTTGCTGCCATTCTGTTGCTACAGTTCATGATACCTTTGCATAGAGCGATCTTGTGAAGGGACTGGTCATTTATTATAGGGAAGGGGGTGGCTGGTGAGATTAAGGGTGGATTTGGGAGGGGGTATAAATATAATATTAATATGTTGGGGTGTGTGTGTGCAGAATATGAGACCAACCTCTTTCTTCTCCCCCACACCCCCTTGACCAGACCCTAAGTCTGCTGAAGGAGCCATATTTTAATACTTTAACACTATGTTAAAGTATGGCTGCTACATGTGGCTCAGATCTCCTGGGCCCCCATTGCCACAAAGGATGGACTGTCCAAAGGATATGTGAAGCTGTGGAAGTCTCAGCACTAAAATCGTTTTATGGAACAGAACACTACTCTTTGTGTTCCTACCTTGTCATATTACATGAAGTGAATATAGTAATAATAATTCTGAATAATAAGATTAATTTTTATTGATGATTCATGGATTTATGAATTGATGTAGTTTCAAAATTCAAACACGTCTCAGGAATGTAATCTGAAGAAAGCTGTGCTTGGAAAGTGGCTTGATTTTGATCCTGATGAAATATTTCAGTTGCCAAAGTACCTGCTACTGAGCAATTCACAATTTGTTCCTATGGGTCTGGATCCACCAAGTAGTTCCATGTTTTTCGTTTGTTTGTTGAAATGGAGTCAATAAACTATTTCCTGAATTGTTTGGTGTAACTCTTTCATTGTTATAGATCCATACAACCAGTACGTTTTATGATACTCACAGCGCCTGTGCAGGTGTGTTTGTAATCTGCTTGCTTGTTGGTACAACTATGGTGATATGGTTTCACGATTATGAACGAAACCTGGTATCACCCATTCCAAACAACAATCAAAACAGTGGAAGCATTTGACATCACGCCCTCAGAAGAAGGCAAGGACTGTCGCATCAGCTGGAAAGGCTATGGCCTCTGTGTTCTGAGTTGCCGAGGATGTGATTATGGTGGACTGTTTTTCTAAAGGCCAGACAATAAACGGAGCATATTATGCTGCACTTTTGAGGCAATTACGTGATGAAATTAAGTCTACCAGACATGGAAGCTGACAAAAGGTGTGCACAAATCAGGCATTGCCATGGCTACTTTCCACGAGTGTGACGTTGAACTCCTTCAGCACCGACCTTAATCTCCTGATCTGGCTCACTCAGACTTCCATCTGTTCACAAGCATGAAGAACGCTCTATTTCGGTTCAAATGGTGACGCCATAACAGCTGTGGAGCACTAGCTAAGAGAAGGATTTGTACCAAACTAGGATAACAGCCCTCCCAACATCGTTGGCTAAAGTGTATTAATGTAAAAGGGGATTACACTTGAAAATGTATCATTGTCATGTCTTCAGGTCAGCTTTTTCAATGTGGAGCTCGCCCGCCTCCTTGTTTAGTGATAGAGCGTTCGCCCGGAGAGCGGAAGGTCCGGGGTTCGATCCCCGCCGCGTTATACCAAAAGACGGTTATAAGATGGTACTTGTTACCCTGCCTGGCGCTCGGCATTAAGCGGCTAAAACAAGGGCTGTTCGGCTCGGAATCAGTATACTGTGTCTGAGTGGGGTATACATGTTAAACTGCGGCATGGTATCTCATTGGGCTAGCACTATAAATCGGAATCAGTCCGGACTAGTTCAAGCAGCTAAACACACACACGTTCATGCACGTCGCTATATAAGTGCAATAATCTTGGACGCGACGATAAACCCCATTTCACCTCACATATGTGGAGCTCAGAATATGTGGTTATCTGAATCATTTCTGGTGTTGCTGACGTGACAGGTCTTCCAGTATGGGGATCGTCCTGAAGGTTACCCACGCTTAAATACTGCTTCCCATCTTTTTTACGTTTGCATAGGAAGGGGCATCCTTCCCGTGTTATACTCACATCCTCATGGATGGCTTTGGTGCAACTACTTGAACACTGCACGTTCGTCAAGTTTGTCCATTTTCGAAAGGTCACAGACTCCTGCTTCAACTGACTCAGCGGAAAACAATTTGCTCAATTGACTCAAGCTTTAATGTAATGGGGGGTCCAAGGCGCACTATTCGCTGTGCAGAGTTGCGTCCCACGGGCACGCCAGAAACGTATGATTATGGGTTCGAATCCGGGTTCGCCCTGATTATGTTTCTAGGTTTGTCAGCACCATACCCGTGCTCGTGGGTTTCACTGAAGTGATAAACGTCTGAGGACTGCATCACTTCGTTCTGACGTGACCCGTAATGGGATGTCCTCAGATCTTTGTTTAGCGGTAGCGAAAACTAAGATCTGATTTTAATGAGATTGTTCTGACGGTCAAACTGGAAAATTTTGTGTAAGCATGGGAGATAACTCTTGCAAGCTTGTATTTGGGGGATGAGAAAATGAATGCTCTAAAATCTGAAGTTGAAACACACATCCGTACCACTTCGGAGTGGCGTGCAACAACGAATCCAGTTGCTAGGTGCTTTGATTTCAGTTCATCGTAGCACGAGGTCCCGTGTACAGCGCACGGGCCACAAATCAGGCCATGTTGACCAACTTTGGTCACCGAGAGTTGTGGACAGTGACCAGGTTCAAGCAAGCTTTATTCCTGGGAGCTTCTGGGGCTTGGGTCAGCCCCACTCCGAAACACGTTACATGTGGTGTCGCCTTAGGCAAGAGTTTTATTCCAAATATGTTTCTTCGCCCAGCAGTTAATGGGTACCCGGTAGAATGAGATGTTAATGTGACCGTTAACCTTACAGCGACACGTGGCAGCTTGGGTATACTCCCCAGGGTGGCACGGGAGGCCCAGTCGTCTAAGGCGCCGCAATTCGCTGTGCAAACCTATGATTGTGGGTTCGAATCCCGGTTCGCCCCGATTATGTTTCTAGGTTTGTCAGCGCCATACCCGTGCTCGTGGGTTTCACCGAAGTGGTAAGTGAGTGAGTGAGTTAAAATTTTAAGTCACACCGGCAATATTTCAGCCATATCGTGACTATCCGAAGTGGTAAAGTAAACGTCTGAGATCTGCATTACTTCGGGCTTTCCTCCCACATTAAGCTGACACGCCGTGATATAACTGGGATACTGTTAAAAGCGGCGTTAAACATAACTCACTCACTTGTACTCCCCAGGGAGCTGAATGAGATTAGAGCGCACACTGATCCGCTGACTGGGATAATAATGCAGTCTGTGGACATTCTTTATGGTGTGGATTTGGCGCATTACAAATATACACATTTATTATTAATCGATCTGCATAGGCGGCTACAGTTTCCCAAACGGAATTAATTCATATCTATTTATTAAAACGTGACGCAGCGCAAACGCTACCACAAACCAGTTTGGGTAGGAGGGGCTTTTACCCCTTTACCCAATCTTTAAACATGCAGGGATATCGGGCGGAAATGGTCCTAAGGACCCCATGCTTGTAAAAGCCGATAAGTTGGCGATCGGTGTCCAGATATGATTATTTCCGGGCCGCATTCATATAGCTGGAACGTTGCTGAGTGCGGCGTTAAACAATTGAGAAACAAAGAACTGAATGTTGCTGATCTCCGCGATAAAACAGCATTCTCTCATTCGTAAACCATGCGGCAATGTAAGATATATCTTGGATATGATATACGACATTTTGGATAGCATGATCACTGGCCCGTGTCGGATGTTTTTAACTCTAGATTGAAATACTTTTCTGTTGTAGACATTCAAAAAGATTCGAACGTGTAGACGAAACATTGTTTTATGAGAATAATAAAAAACATTTAGGTCTAAAATATTCATGCAAGTTTGACCTCGTTCGTTCAACCAGAACCAGCAGGTTTGCAAGCACGTATTGAAGTGTCTGTTTTTCCCCGGCTCACTCCATGGTGCCGATAAACAGTTCAATTCGCAGGGTACTGAATGTTAGGTTATGTCCCATTTATGCCATTTTAGTGACTATATATTGCATATTAAATAGCATAATAAAAAGTCTGGTCCAGTAATTTTCTTGGAAGGTCATCCTGGAATTACAAAACATTCTGTGTTTGGAGGAGCCGTCGAATTATCGTAGGTATATCTACTGGGGCGTAAGGACGCCAGAGGTATGCTATTTGTTGTAGTTTTGCAGCCTGTTCACAATGGTACACAATGCCCGTGAAGATCCGGGGTAGAATAGGTCTTCAGCAACCCATGCTTGCCGTAAAAGGCGACTATGCTTGTCGTGAGAGACGACTAACTGGATCGGGTGGTCAGACTCGCTGACTTGGTTGATGC